TCATGTGGCACAGGGAAGTATTTCCTAACTGAGCCATACAATTGGTTGAATGGTATGGCACATAGCAGTATTTCCTAGCTGAGCCATACAATTGATTGATCGATATGGCACAGAGGGCAGTATTTCCTAGCTGAGCCATACAATTGGTTGATCGATATGGCACAGATGGCAATATTTCCTAACTGAGCCATACAATTAGTTGAATGGTATGGCACAGAGGGCAGTATTTTCTAGCTGATCCAATTGGGTGAATCCATCAGTCGTAGCAGTCATTTATTAATAATGTAAATTATTTTAAATAGTTATGTAAGCATATCATAAAAGGTGCTAAAAGGTTGAAAGGTGAGAGGCTAAGAGTCAATGACATAATTGTAGTGTTACATAAAATAAGTCAATATTTGAATTGATTTATAAAAATGTTCAGGTTAGCAATTAATGAGATAATGTGTAGAACATGTTCAGATCTTTACACCATATTCAATTCGGGATTTGATAGAACAGACTGGAAATTTATTACTCAAGAAAAATTTCCCTTAATATTGATTACTAGAACTTTGGGTGTTTGTCAGAGTCCATGGAACAGTCTATTAAACCCCCTAGAACAGCATTATTGAACTATTCAGCCCATGTATGACCCCCTAGAACAGCAGTATTGAGCTATTCACTTCATGTATGACCGCCTAGAACAGCATTATTAAGCTATTCAGCCCATGTATGACCCCCTAGAACAGCATTATTGAGCTATTCAGCCCATGTATGACCCCCTAGAACAGTATTATTGAGCTATTCAGCCCATGTATGTCCCCTAGACTGTCATTATTGAGCTATTCAGCCCATGTATGTCCCTAGACTGTCCTTATTGAGCTATTCAGCCCATGTATGTCCCCCTAGACTGTCATTATTGAGCTATTCAGCCCATGTATGTCCCTAGACTGTCATTATTGAGCTATTCAGCCCATGTATGTCCCCCTAGACTGTCATTATTGAGCTATTCAGCCCATGTATGACCCCCTAGAACAGCATTATTGAGCTATTCAGCACATGTATGACCCCCTAGACCAGCATTATTGAGCTATTCAGCCCATGTATGACCCCCTAGAACAGCATTATTAAGCTATTCAGCCCATGTATGACCCCCTAGAACAGCAGTATTGAGCTATTCACTTCATGTATGACCGCCTAGAACAGCATTATTGAGCTATTCAGCCCATGTATGACCCCCTAGAACAGCATTATTGAGCTATTCAGCCCATGTATGTCCCCTAGACTGTCATTATTGAGCTATTCAGCCCATGTATGTCCCCTAGACTGTCATTATTGAGCTATTCAGCCCATGTATGTCCCCTAGACTGTCATTATTGAGCTATTCAGCCCATGTATGACCCCCCTAGAACAGCATTATTGAACCATCCACTCTTGATGAAATGAAAATTCTACATTTGCTAATTATGTGTTATCAATTTTTTAATAGCTGTAAAACTAAATTATGAATATAGCAACACATTGTCAGTGTTTGATAACATCTATGCCAAAATAATCTGTATTTCTTGAATATTTTATAGAAATTATCTTTTATGTAAATGTGATTATTTCAAAATTGTTGTTTTAAAAATGCATGTATTTACAGATAAGCATGCGTTTGCTCATCAGTTATTTTACATCGTCTTGGGGAGTACCCTAGTGAGGAATCAACAAATATTTTACCTGGTCTTAGGGAGTACTCTGGTGATGGACCAACCCATATTTTACCTTGTCTTAGGGAGTACTCTGTACTGTACCAATCGATATATCATTCTCATGATACAATGTATCCATTTCATTTTATGTTTTCTGGTCAGTCATTTACGATAAGAATATATTTTAATGATCCAGCATCAAGAACAGTGTTTGAAATCATTCAAATGGAAACTTTTCAATCTAATGTTAATCACATGACTTGTATAATGGCTCTATGCAGTTAGTACACACACAAAATCTTTTGTTTTCTCAGAGATTG